TCCGGCTCCATTCGAATCACAGCTGCCCATATCAACAGGGTAAGCATCCCGAACTGTGGATCTCACGCACGCTGGACGTTATGAACACCGGACTTTATGAACAATGGACCTTACGAACAATGGACGTTATGATTCTCCTCTGTTTTGGGGCTTTGGACGTTTTCTGGACCTTATGAACGCTGGATGCTGCGATTCTGGACTTTTTGACCACTGGACTTTATTAACTCTGGACGTTTTAATACGCATCCCATGAGTCACGCCCAAATGAGGATGACGGGCGTTTTTAGAACTCCAAACGGGAATCTGACGTGTTCTTGGCCCGCAAGCCCGTGGGGACCGTGTTTACAAGGACGGAGTGGGTATGCTCATACCTGATATAGTCGGCGGCTCTTATACGCACCTTGTAAGTGTGAGAGATGGTCCCGGTACTATGACTCAGCTGCGTTGCCCCAACCTCTCGCCCAGCGTCACATCAGTTTATACGCCCGCCAGCAATCGCCATCCTCACCAGCCTGCCTTCATAAGAAGCCAGGCAACCACCTCAGGTGTTTACCGATACCACCAAGTGGATCGTCTACACTGATATTAATGTTTCAATGACTGTGCAGGGCCACTTCGACACTTTTCGTATGCACCGTCGAGCGCTCTCACCTAAATCAGCTGGCAGGCATACTGAGCCTGTCAAGTGTTGATGTCTGGCAACCTATTTGCGCTGGCCTAAATCGCTTTACCTGGGAGCGTGAAAGTAGAGCACCACTGAAACAGTAACGTGTAGAAAAACACCATTGTTAGCAATGCATTGGAGACCCACCAGGGCGGTTGGGAGCATACAAATGAGACCATGCATCCAGTCAGACCTTCGCATGCTTGTGATAAAGATTGATCTTACAGAGATAGCCCTCCACCGGGTACAAACAAATTGAGCAATTTTGTTTATACCTTACAGGGAACAGCTTAAGAGGGAAGCCCAAAACACGTTCAAAGACACAGCTTCAAAAATGGTGAAATAAACCAGGTCAGACCTAAAGTACCTACCTGGGGTATACATACACATGCATATACATGTATGTGTACATGTGCTACCCACTGGTATATTCTCATGAAACATGACAGCGTTTTTAGCATAAAACTGTCTAGTAACTAGTAACTAGTAATCTTCCCAATGAGCTTCCATTTTTGGAGAGTGAAATCGTGACGCGTATGACCAAAGATGTCTGTTGGTTATGATACCTTGGTAATGTGTACCAATTTGGTAATTTTCTGTGAGCATTTTGCTCCGACAACGGAAAGTAGTGTGAAAGCTCGAAGCCATTACCAAATGATAGATTTGATGTAGTGTACTATCTAATTAAATGAGAAATGTGTCGACAACATGCAACCTGCCTAAACGATATATAGTGCAGTATATATAGATCACCCAAACTGACTGACTTAGCCACGGCTCCAGGCGATGTTCACCCGGAGAGTGAGGTGGAGGACCGACCGTCGTATCGAAACAACTGATACAATGCCAAAGCAACTCGTAATGAAATGAGAGCTGGAACCAAGCAAAAATGGTAAGCGTCATCTCCTCAAACGTTGTCATGTTTGCCCAATGTTTGTTTAATGTCTGATGTTTATATTCGATTATGGACATTAAGCAGCACATAATGTGATGAGTGGATTGGCGCATCAGCGGAACGGTGAAATCTGAGCGTCTCTCCTAACAGTAACAAGATATGGTCACCGCCGCCTGGGAACCCACGACACACCGCCCAGTCGCCCGATCCGTAAGCCAACACGGGCCAGGCGCCCGCCGCCACTCCAAAACTACACATTAGCCGTCTCGGGCCGGCGGCGGACGCACAGCCCGGCAACGCCACCCAGTAGCCCGTCTACTGCCCGCGCCCGCTGGAAATTTTTAGGCGAATCGTTTGGTGTGGAAAATAAATGTTTCGTACATTTTGCTATGTGCCGCCCATTGCAATCCTGTAAACCGTTACCTCTAAGATAGATACATAGTTGCTCGTTGTGAGTGAGCTCAGAAAAGTTTGGAATGATTTGGTCATCGCCGCCAGGGAGCCCACGACACACCGCCCACTCGCCCGATCCGTAAGCCGACACGGGCCAGACACCCGCATGTCTTTACAATGTCTGTCATACAATGTATTTGACCGTGACCCCGTGGACCAAAACGTTGCCATGATGAAACATCATTGCACGTCTAATGTTCGTCGCTCGTTTGCCCCGTGTTAAGGTCAGAACTTTGCAGAACTGTCATTTCGAGAAGAACAGGCTCAACAAAAAGAAAGATAGTAAGTAAACCGCGCGAAAACGCCACAGCTTTCTGCTTGGCTAACTCCTAACCTGTTCGTGTGGGTGCAATCTAATTAACCTGAAAGGGGCCACGCACGCATGCTTTCAGTTACATCCTTAGAAAACTGTGCCACCACCTATTGACATGGGATGCATTCCTTTTTACCACCCATACGTTTTCTACGCTGCAAAATTACTGCAAAATCTCGTCTTAAACGTGACAATACTTCCATTGTCATCAGCTCGCTGTGGTTAAATAGGTGCTTTAGAAATCATAATTGTTTCATGCTTCTAGGGAAATTAAGCCCGAAGCTCTATGAAAGTCCAAATCTCTTTAAGCAAGACAGTAGACTAGAAATACCATACACGAACCCGTTACTACAAAAGGTTACTATGCCTCGCTTAAACCGGTTAACACTCACAAAATCCCAAACTGCTAATGTTCCCCAGTAATGAACGGTCGGTGGACGGAAAGGCGGTCGGGTCACGGGACAAGAGATCCCGCCGGGGTCTTAGTATCGCGCCCGAGAATCGTCGTCGAGTGGAATGAAGTCGGCACCGAGGCGCCAGCCTCTGGGACAGCGACGACGCGCGACAACCGTGCTCATGGCGTCCGTGCGGTCGCCGCCGGCACCTCATGCGGCGGAGGAGGCGCGCCGCGCGTGCGCGGGGCGCTGGATCGGCTCTTTGCCACCTGCGATGCACCTGTGACGGGCGAGCGAACATCGTGGCGAATTTTGTCTCAGTGCAATCGATGCGAAATTGTACCACTGTTAGAGGAACCGTTGGCGCCTTCGTTCCTGACTACCGCGAAGTGCGCCAAGTTGACACGAGTGCTGGTGAACCACTTCGAGCTGGAAAGGCCAGTGCTTGTGGGACGATCTAGATTCCACACATGCTGTCAAGCAAATCATGAAGATATTGCTGACTTCTTCGCCGGCCTGAGAAGTATGGGCTGACGCTGCAGACTTTCCACTGATGTAATACCTGCGACGCTGAGGAATCGTTTCGTGTGCGACATTTGGGATGACAGATTTTAAGCTCGAATGCCAGGTCAGGGCGACTCGACCTCCGACGTTGCAGCAGAGCTGGCTCTGACTCAGGAGTCGGCTGGTGGTGGTGAGCTGAGATAGGACGCCGATGATGACTCACACGCCCCGCACGCACCGCCGTCACGGCAGTGACGACTCATGACGACATTAATCACATGGATGAGCGCCACGTCGGGGGCACGAATGACTGGTGACTACACAAGTCACTGGTGACTACACTCAGCGGGCGCAACTGGCTGCAGTTGCGACTGCCAGTCCGGCAGGGCGGCAGGCACCTCCGCGCCCCCAAGGTCCCGGTTCGATATCAACGGCCCCTACATGCTGCCAGAGTCACCGTCATCGCCGTTCGCAGTGCCGGACGCGGAGCCGCCGGTACAACCGCTGTGGCATGTGGAGACACGCGTCCAGGAACCATCCGAAAGCTGGAGACGAGACAGCAGAAACAGCTTGATCGCTGCAGCAGCTCAGCGGCGGCCTACAAGACGCGGCGCGGAGACACGAAAGGGACGCCACCACTGGAACCTGACGAGGGCGCAGCGGACAATGAGTTGCTTCCGCCTTTCTCTGTGACGTCACGGGTGGCGGGCACCGCGCACCTCCCAGCAGTGTGGGTGTAAAGATGAAAGGGCCGCCTCTGCGCGTGGAGCTGGACACCAGCACCGCTCGGTGGTTAGGTAGACCAATTAAACGGCGTGCGTCGTGTACCTGAAGTGGGCTCAACGCAGATGGGGGGGGGGGGGGGGGGGGGCGCGTGATGTGCGGGGCGCCGGTGAGCGAGTCAGCGGCCGGGTCACATGACCGACGACGGCCGGAGGCTCGGTGTCCTGGCAGAGAACGGTGGCGAACGCCACACGTCATTGGCACCGACACACCAGCCTGCACCCAGCATTCACAACACATTTCGATTCCGTGGACCAAAAGGCAGCCTGGCGAAGTCCGACGGCAGCAGAACTTGGCGCCAACGTTACCACGTCGTGTCATCAGACATCGATAGCGCAGTGGGGTTGTGCCACACTGACTGTAGGGATAATTAAACCGTAGGATTAAGCCTAGAATATTCCTCAAAAGCTTGAAGGGATAGTTAAAAAACGTAACTTTCACGAATGCAGTCGTGTTGTTTCCTGCAACTCTTACAGTGTTGCAGTGAGCGCGTAGCGTGAAGATAGTCCAGGGCACACCAAGTAAAGACAGAGCGTTAATCTGGGGAGAAATGAGTAGCATGGCTGCGGAGAATTTACGGCTGCCGCCAAAATGAAGTAGGGCTAGAATTAGGCAGACAATTCACCCTGGCTCCATAAACTCCCGGAATATGGGTGCTCGTCCGCACGCAAACGAGCTCAGAGGTCGTGGCAGTCATCTACAGATGAAAAGCCTACGGCAGCCTTGAAAATGACGGCTACTTGTTGCACAGAGATGACGGACATGGGCTGGGCAGGTCCAGCTCCCCGCGTGGCAGCCTCTCCACCGAGCGCGCCTCAGCAGGCCGGCCACAGGTGCAATCATACGGAGGCGGAGGGGGCGTCACTCGATGGTGGACACGTGTGAGAGGAACGTGCGTGTCACCCGACGGTGGACAGGGGGGGGGGGGGGGCGGATGTGCGTGCTCAGCTGATTTGTATGACGCTGCAATGCCGTCCGTAGAGCAGGCCTCACCGTAGTGGCGTGTCGCCCGATATCTGCTGCGTGAGTCCGGCCAACGTCAGCAGCGAGCCCCGAGCCGATAGCAGAGCCGTGTCGTAACTGGGAAACTGGTACACCTGCCGGCAGAGAACGAGGCCGTGTCGTAAGCAGGAAACTGATGCGCATGTCGGCACAGAACATAGCCGTGTCCTACCCGAGACAATAAGGCCTAGTCGTACCAGGGCTACTGGAACGTCTGCATCAGCACACTAGAGCCTGGTTGAAATCCCCCTCACACGACCCAGCTGATCCCAGGTCCGATGGATCACAGCCATTCTCAAGGGTGGCCATCAGCGATAACCGCTGCCACAGAGCTCTTGCTGGCCGACATGCGATCCACACCGGCGGTCCCGTTTGTTTGAAACAAGAATGAACTGTATCTTTGCCCGTGATCAGTGCTTTACAGGTGTTGCCTACTAATCCGGCTTTGCATCCTACAGGGCAGCGTTTAAACAACTTAAGAATGCATGCAAATTGGAATCTGCAACGGCATGTTCGGGCTTGATTGCCTCATGCTTTTTAATCCTCTTCAGAAACGAACGAAGATGCAGTTTCGGGGCATTCACTTGGCATTGCAGTAAGCGCGCCGCACGATCACCGCAGCCAGGTAGCCGTCCTCCACTGGTTCAAAGTTCCTCTTACCGCATTTTCTCGGGTGTCTTTCCTCCAGGGACGTACCCAGTTCAGTGTTTCAGATGTGATAGCACAATAAGAATTTTACATCCTGTGGTTGCCATTTGTTATTATTTCTGCTTCGGATGACCCATACAGTCGGAGGTTTTTCAAAAGTTTCACGAGCGCTAGATCAGCATGTCGTACACAGTAAGGCAGAACATGCAATTAATGGAACAGTTTCGACAGACCACTGCTGTGACCAGAGCTCAGATGCGGAAGAGAGTTGAGAAATATCGGGAGTACGCAGTACGACACCCACCCAGACGGATGCCTTACTGCACGTAGCACCAAGCGCCCGGCACCCAGCATCGAGCGAAAACAGCACTGTTCGTGTTGTCATGACTTCGCTCGGTATAACTAGACTCTTTCAGTTTCACGGTGACGACGGGCAGGCAGTGACAGAAAATCTTAAAAATGTTCGAGATATTCGCTACAAGCTCGCCACTTTTCCCCGAAGCCGTCGTGTTGGTTTTAATAGGCAGTGCGTGCCACTCGGAGCGGAGTCACTCCTCATTCTGCGGTGGAAACACGAGAAATGTCTTAAAAAGACGTCTCAAGGGAGGGTGACCTTGCTGGAGATGGGATATATCTGGGCTCCTCATTCCGCCGACCCCAGCCCGCTATATTTCTTCCTGTAGGGCTACGCAGAAAACGACGTTTAGAAGAGTACGCCCCAAAGCATCCATCAACTCAACAAGACGATATTGTAGAGTCCTTGGGATTTATTCTAAGGGTGGCCTGCAAAAGAGTGAAGCCATTTTTTTCTACGGGATCACCTGTCCAAACGATCAACGCATGGCCAGTACGCCAAGGAGTGCACATCCAGCACGCTATGCAGGCTGTTTGAAGGCCCTAAACTGCACAGTGCGGCAGGGGTGCTGTTGTTAATTACGCCATGCTAGTTGACCCAATCCACAACGTATCCCGGTCACGAAAAATGACCTTGTGTGATTCAACCCTACGTGATTTGTGGCAATGGGCGTTTTGTTGTACCAACGATTCTGAGACTCGCTGTACTACATGCACCGGTCACTTTACTGCCTACACCGGTACCGGGTGTACTAGCCACAAGCGCATTATCAGACGAGCATTCCGTGCGTCGAGCGAGCTGCACACCAGCGACACGCCCTTCCTCGAATATACGCCTATCACAGGCGCCGCACGGGTGCCCAGGGCGTCGGTACCCCAGCCGCGGCGCGTACTCACGATGTCCTGGCGATCTGGCGAGCTCTCGGTCAGGCCGCCGGTGCTGAGACACAGCAGGCCGTATGGCACGCTCCTGAGCAGCTGGCCCAGCGCCTCCAGCTGCAGACCGTCCCCGGTCAGGTTCGTCACCGCACCGTCCGCCGACTCCTGCAACGACAAAGCACACGCTCAGCAGCACGACACGGCCAGGTGAAGCGCGCCACAGAGACGGCCAAGGGGCTGTCTTCTTCTCCTGTCCAAGTCGTGGCGCTCTCTGCTCAGCCCGAGCTCACCCACGATGATCTATTTAGCACTACGGACCCTGACGTTCGTGTGAATCCTTTTTGTCCACTTCCCAATTTCCACCGTCTCGAGGCGACCTTTCAACTCCGAATGCTCTTATAGTTCCGCAGTGCCCCGCCGAGCCGCGCTATTCCATAAATCTCGGCCCGGCATGACGCTTCCCCGTCATCAGGCTGCATCCACATGGCCAAGACTAACCGCAAAAGCGGAGGAAGCGGGACCAGAGCAACCATTCTCCTTCGCCTATACCTGTTCACGATTTCATGCGCTGCCTGGTCGCGAGAACTCTAACGTTAGCTGAAACAATTGTCGGTCGATGAGGAAAGCTTCAGCACGTGCCAAGTCAACGCCGAGCGGCCAGCTGCAAACTCTAACGGTGGCTGAAACAATGGTCGGTCGATAGGTCAGAGCTTCAGCAAGCTCCGAGTCAACGCCGAGCGGCCGGCTGCACAGGTCAGATCTAGTGCCTTGGATGCGAGCTCGCAACCAACGAAGTTAACCCTGGTTAAATAAACTGCAGCGGCGTATGTCCGTGTGTATATGTTGAGTACAGTGAAGCTCTGAGTTTGTTCTTAGTTAAAAGGAATGTTTCATTTTTGAAGATATTGAGCAAAACATCAGATATGACGAAAAAGGGTCAATCATAACCATTGACATAATTTTTAAGTGTAAAAGACTGCACCAGACAACACCATTTTCCCTGTTTAACATATGTGTTCCTCGATGCGTCATTATTTGATTACGTCATCGCACATTCCACGACGTCGATTGAGAGCCAATTGACGGTCATTATATCTGGAAATCTGCTGGCGAACGCCACATATGAATGACTCGATCATTATATTGCTATTGGCCTTGACAGATGCACGGCTTTTGGAATAACAGAATCTAAATACCGTTATTATGACGTCATGAGTGCCAAAGTGTCTCCCCGAAATAGCATCCGCATCTTCCCCGGCGTGTAGCTCCGAAACTAGAAAATGTAAGTCTTAAGAAGGGCAGGACTGCGAACCGCACCGAATGATTCTCAAGATGACCATTTCAGTTCAGAACTTCATAAAAATATGGAGCACCTCCTTTAATTGGGCAGCACACGTGTATTAGACTTAACTTGCGCCCGGCCGGGCGGAAGTTGACTTCCCCTACAGTTTTTCTTGAACAGATAAAAAACAAAAACTTGCAGTACGGCGAAATTTCCAATACCTGTTCATCTGTTAGATTGACATCCTTTGTGCAAAGCTACGGCTTTCATCTAACAACATCAGCGACCTAACTCAGGTCAAAGAGGTCAACACCTAAAACCTTCGACTGCACATCAATTTTCAAGTATGCCATTGGTCAAGTTCAAACTAGATAAAATACAAGACGATGATAGTACCTACGGTTGTCTCTTTCACATCTTTCGGAAAATGCAAGGTCAGTGGCCTGAAGTCAGGTAAATTTTGCTATCTTCGTAAATAACGCAAATTTGTGTGCATTTTTTAGCAGTTTTCGTGTTTGAATAAGACAATAAGAGTACTTACATGCACAACTACCATGACAACAGAGCACATGATCTTGGTCCAGGTCATGACCTATCTTTGCGCGTACCCTCTGTAAAACACGTGTTGAGCTTATAATAGATAGTTATATTGGGTAACATTGGACGCAGATCTCGAATATCCCACTGAAAACATATTATGCTATCATTCTAATGCATAACGAGATAAGTTCGAGAGTATATATAATATATATACATACTCTCGAGAGTATAAATAATATATAAGTAACGAGATAAGATAAGTAAGGGAGTTCACTTTCTCCACGGTTTTTTCGAACGCAGCTCGAACATGAACGCTCGAAACAACACCAAATTTTCAGTGCTTGCTCACCTATTCATTTGGCATCCTTTGTGCAAATTTGAGGCTTTCATCTGCGAATGTCAACTACCCGGTGATCTAGAATCGCTTTTGAACTAGCGTGGGAGTGAAAAATTTCATTGGAAAACGATATTGCGGGAGTGAAAAATTCAATTAACAAAAGATGGAACTTATGTGCTAGTGACTGACGCTTCGGCAAACAAAGACATTTATTTCAAGTTGGCGTAGACGTAATATCATATCCTGACAAAACTGTTTTTTTTTTGTAAACATCTTAGGCCATTACAGTGAAACAGAATGCATTAAAGCATAGTAATTTCATCACAGTGTAACAAGCATAACAAATTATGCAACACCGATACTTTGAGGCTACACTTTGCATTTCCCCGCCACAGCAATTTTTAATATAAAACAACGCAAAGGAAAACAACAACAAAATACCAACCGAAAATTAACAAGCATAAAACGCTCAAAACCAAAAAAAAAAAATTGGACTCCTACACATCAGCCCATCACCAAGTCAAACACAACAGACATACCTCTGGCTTCTGTCGTGATGGGATCAGGGAAAACAAACATTTTGTCACTGTTTCTCACAAAATACCAATGTCTATTTCCATGAAACTAGCCTAACTATGCATAACCTAAAGAGGCCTTACTTCACTTCATCCTGTCTAATTTGCTTGCATCACAGCAGTAGTTGTGAGTTACTGATTCTTGCACAACTCCTATTGCCACTTGCCACGCACTCAACCAACTTAACCTAACTTAGAGTAGCCGATATGTTGAACATTACCTCAACTCACCTATCTGTTGACAGCAGCACTTGTCATGAAAACATGATAAAGCTCATCTTTGACTGGTTTCAACTTGCATTTTTATTCAGCCCATTTGTGTATGCTTGTTGACATCAGACAAAGCTGATAACATACAAATCACAACACTTAAAATCACTTTGAACAACTTATTCTGATTACCATGGTTAACTTCTGTCAAGGGGAATAATGGGCATGCTCCACAAAACAATTTCTCTCCTCCAAAAGTGACAGCTATTAAATGACCATGCCAGAATTGCTGCTTGCCTTTTCAGCTGCAGCAAATGCATCCATTTGGGCTTGTTTATTCATATTTAATGACAAAGTTTGATATGCTGGCTTCACATTTTAAATGGGGTGGTCTATCTGTTACATACCAATATTGAATTCACGTTATAATTGCTATGCAGCTTAGAGTATCCCTGTGTTAAACATATAGTGCATATATACAGTACAGTCATTTGCCGGTCAGCAAACCATGACAACTATAGAAAACATGTGGTTAAAGAGCATAAGGGACCACGTTAGGAAATTTGGGGCAAATAACCAAGAATATGGAACAAAATAAGGCCATTGCATGCCTTGTGGCATCATAATTTGTCTTATGGCAAAACTCGATGGGTTAAAACAGAAAATGGCTAAATCTAATTACAAATAATGTGAATCTGATGAATTTCACTTTGTTTGAACTTGTTCGACCTGAAGATCATGACCTAGGAAGCTGAAACCTTAACCTAAGTGAGTTCACGTATAGGTCAAGACGCCCTGTAAATTTGGTGTCTCTAGCTTCCTTAGTTCCCGAGATCTCAGAGGGGGGTCCAATTGACCCCCCCCCCCCCCACCGCAGCGAAGGGTATCTAGCCAGCCAACCGGGAGCGTGTTAAAACATAGTAATTTCATGACAGTATTATGAGCATAACAAATTATTAACACCAATAATTTGATGCTGCACTTTTCAATTCCCTTCCACAGCACTTTTCAAACAAGACAACACAAAGGATTTCAATAACAAAATAACAACAGAAAATGCAACAAGCATAAAACACCCAAACAAAAAACCTTGGACTCCTACACATCACCCCGTCACCAAGTCAAACACAACAAACATACTTCTGGCTTCTGTTAAGATGGGGTCAGGGAAAACAAATACTTTGCCACTGTTTCTTACAAAAGCCCAGTGTCTATTTCCATGAAAGTAGCCTATGCCTAACCTTAAGAGGCCTTACATCATCTCATCCTGTATAACCTGTTTGTATCACAGCAGCAGTTGTGAGTTACTGATTCTTGCACAATTCCTATTGCCACTTGCCATGCACTAGTCCAACTTAACATAACTTAGAGTAGCCCATATGATGAACATCATCTCAACTCACCTATCTGTTGACGGCAGCACTTGTGATAAAAGCATGATATTTAAAGCTAGTCTTTGGCTTGTTCCAACTTGCACTTTTATTCAGTTCATTTGTGTATGTTTGTTGACATCAGACAAAATTGACAACACAAATCAAAACACTTTAAATCACTTTGAACAACTTATCTGGATTGTCATGGTAAACCCATGTCAAGGGCAATAATGGGTATGCTCCACAAAACAATCTCTCTTCTCCAAAAAAAACACAACTTTTAGATGACCATGCCAGTATTGCTGCTTGCCTTTTCAGCTGCAGCAAATGTATCCATTTGGGCTTGTTTATTCATATTTAATGACAAAGTTTGATATGTTGGCTGCACATTTTAAATGGGGTGGCCTATTTGTTACATACCAATATTTAACTCATATTATGACTGCTATGCAGCTTAGAGTACCCCTGCGTTAAAAATATAGTGCATATATACAGTACAGTCATTTGCCGGTCAGCAAACCATGACAACTGTAGAAAACATGTGGTTAAAGCAGCCATAAGGAACCACTTTAGGAAAGTTGGGGCAAATAACCAAGAATACGGAACAAAATAAGCCCATTGCATGCCTTGTGGCATCATAACTTGTCTTACGGCAAAACTCGATGGATTAAAACAGAAAATGGCTAAATCTGGTTACAAATAATGTGTTGAAAGCAGGTGAGGTAAGTAATTACTTGGTCCAGAGGAGACTTACTGGCTCTTTCAGGGCACACTTTTTCACGCTCCCCAAAACAAAAAGTCAGTGCATTTCGCATGGTTTGCTGACAGAGTCATCACACTCACCCCCA